CTGATGCATAGGGGCACTTGTACCCCAATGTTCATAGCAGCACTCTCAACAATAGCCAAATTATGGAAAGAGCCTAAATGTCCATCAACTGATGAATGGATAAAGAAATTGTGGTTTATATACACAATGGAATACTACGTGGCAATGAGAAAAAATGAAATATGGCCTTTTGTAGCAACGTGGATGGAACTGGAGAGTGTGATGCTAAGTGAAATAAGCCATACAGAGAAAGACAGATACCATATGGTTTCACTCTTATGTGGATCCTGAGAAACTTAACAGGAACCCATGGGGGGAGGGGAAGGAAAAAAAAAAAAAGAGGTTAGAGTGGGAGAGAGCCAAAGCATAAGAGACTGTTGAGAACTGAGAGCAAACTGAGGGTTGATGGGGGGTGGGAGGGAGGAGAGGGTGGGTGATGGGTATTGAGGAGGGCACCTTTTGGGATGAGCACTGGGTGTTGTATGGAAACCAATTTGACAATAAATTTCATATATAAATAAAAAAAAATAAAGATTATGTAATCTCTTGCCTCAAAAAAAAAAAAAAAAAAAGAAAGGGACAATAATATTTACCCTCAAACTATTTCAAAAGTTAAAAAGGAAGGAATACTTCCAAACTCATTCTATAAGGCCAGCATTACTCTGGTACAATGGAATATCACTTCACACATCTTCTTCATCCACTCATCTACAGGTTGACAGGTTGCTTTCCTATCTTGGTGAGGCTACTGTAAATAATGCTGAAATGAATATAGGGGTGTGTATGTCTTTTTAATCAGTGTTTCAGTTGTGTTTTGATAAATACCTAGAAGTGGAATTGCAGGATCATATACTAGTTCTATCTTAAATTTCTGAGGAACCTCTTTGGTGTTTTCCATAGTGGCTGCACCAACTTATATTCCAACCAATAGTACATCAGTTTCCCTTTTCTCTACATCCTCACCAACATCTGTTATTTCTTGTCATTTTGATAATAGCTATTCTAACACGTGTGAAGAGATATCCTATTGTGGTTTGACCATCTGTAAGTCTTCTTTAGAAAAAATGATCTATGTGTAAGACCTGAAACCATAAAAACTCTAGAAAAGAACACAGGCAGTAATTCCTCTGACATTGCCCATAGCAACATTTTTCTAGAGATGTCTCCTGAGGCAAGGGAAACAAAAGCAAAATTAAACTATGAGGACTACATCAAAATAAAAAGCTTTTGTATGGCAAAGGAAACAACCATCAAAACAAAAAGACAACTTACTGAATGGGAGAACATATTTGCAAATGATACATCATCATGTTTTAAATGAAAGAAAATTTCCTGTGCTTTTAGAAGGAAGAGGTAGATCACTATTGCTTTCCTAGCTTCATGGCTCTAGAACTCTCTGGTGCTGTTCTCCCAAAGTGACAGAAAATATGGCCTCATACTTTGATATCTTGCTCCTCTCCCCTACTTTTATCTGCATCTTTTCTTTCCTTTGCCCCAGTGTCTGTCTTGCTCAAATTAGGCTCTATCCCCAACAGTTTCTGCTCAGTGTGAGGTCACGGAAGAGAGCATCAGTTTACTTCCAAAGGTTATATGGCTAAGGTTCCAGCACCACAAAAATGCGGCACATTATAGATCTCTCACATCCAATTATGAAGAGCATCTTGCATTATTCCCTTCTTGGTCTTGGTTGTTGTTCTCAGATTGGCTTGCATGCTCCAGTGAAAACCTGTTGCCAATTCCTATTCTCAGAGCTGTTAGAATCCCAGTCAGCCTTCCTTCCACACAAATGCCGATAACCCTAAGGGTCCATTAGGGCATGATGTACCACATGGTGTACTTGTTTGTATTTGGGGCTTACAGAAGGAAACCTAGTTGTCTACTTAGGTTTTAGAGATTGACTGTGCTGTCTTTAGTTTTGCTATCCAAACTGCTGTGTTTATGGTAGAATTCTACTAGATTCAAAAAGTATTTCATGCCACTTTCAGAATCCTAATTCACTTTTTGGTAATTTATATATTTTTAGCCTTCCATGCAATGCTAAGCTTATAAAATATACTTTATTTCTATCTGCCTATGTCCTTCAAGTTTTTAATAATTTAACAGTTTGAATCTACCTAGATACCCATGATACTCACCTATCTATATTCCTTGGTACCTCTAAAGTTTATGTGCTCCAAATTTTTATCTTTCCCTCTTCTTAAAACCTCAAAATTAACTAGATTTTTAAATAACTGCTTATTTGTGGGGGGGGGGGGAAGAGGGAGGGAGGGAAAAAACACGAGTGGGGGAAGGGCAGAGAGAGGGGGGACAGAGGATCCAAAGTGGGCTCTGTGCTGACAGCAGAGAGCCCGAGGTGGGGCTTGAACTCATGAACAGTGAGATCATGACCTGAGCTGAAGTCAGTCACTTAACCAACTAAGCCACCCAGGCGCCCCCCAAATTAACTAGATTTATGAAATTTCAGAATTCTAGTAAAATTAAAACTGACAAGAACCAAACAAAAAAGAAAAATACTTGTAATTATTCAATAATGAGAAAATTTACTCAGCTAAAAACTACCTTATATCAACAAGAGAGCATTCCAAAGATAATCTTCCCATTGTCCTTAGGTTTTCTTGAAGCTCTCGTAAACAGGTAATATTCACTACTAGTTCAACACCCACGTCATACAGCAAAACCTATGAAAATAGTAACTTTGAGTCTGTGGAAAGACAGTATTTCAAAATGTTTTTCACAAATTGAACAGCATAATAAAAATTAGATTAAAAAAATTTCAAGATAAAAATACTGAATCCATTCACCTTCACAATTATATTTTTAACTCTGCATTTACCTCTACCAATGTGTCTGTAACCATTCTGATGATCTGGCCTCTTTGCCACTGATTTTTATCTGGGATCCTAACTGCACAGTGCATATCATTTTCCCATTTAACGGGTTCCCATTTTGAGTCTTCATAAGCAGCTACCATCTTTTCTTCTAAACTGTATAGAGAAAAAAAATTAACTTTCAAACCTTTTCTTACAACACCTAAGTCTCTAACCACGTCTTCTACTGTCCCCCCTTTCTCACTCTACTCAAGCCAAACTGGATACCTTGTTTTTCCTTGAATACCCAAGCACATTTCCACTGCAGGGCCTTTGAACTTGTTCTTCCCTCTGCATGAGATGATCTTCCTCCAGATACCCTCATGGTTTACTCCCTCTCTTCCTTTAGGATCCATTTCAAATGTCATAGTCTTTTTGAGGCCTTCCCTGATTATCCAAAATTGCCTTCCTCCTCAACTGCTTTTACTCTACTGTCTTTATCACCATCTACTACAGTAAATATTTTGTCTATTGTCTCTCTACCAGAATTTAAGCTTGATGACGCCAAAGACTTGTAAATGTTTTTACCACTGTATCCCCAACACCTACAATACTGGTTGTCAAAAACAGGTGTTCAATAAGTATTTGGGGAATGACTAATTCTTATATAGTGAAAATAGCCAGTAAATACACTATTTGTATACTTTTAACCAGTGTTTCAGTGACTGTTTAACCGAAATAATTTTGCTTTTAAAATTCTACATTTGTGATTTCTAGATTTTTGAAACAAAATATAGAAAAAAGCCCACATGCAATCCATGTTTTCCTTATATGTTATACCTGTTAAGTAAGTTTTCTGTTAATAACCACTGAACATAAATCTTCTCAGGAGATATCACATTACAGATATGTACAGGTAGTTCCTTATTATAAAGTGATTGGAGATTCTCATTAGGTAGAGATTTTATAGATACAGGATTTAAGCTGTTTACTTCATTTGAAATAATTTCTTCTGGAGAAGGATCCCATACTTCACTATGTTTTTTGGAATTATCCTTGAGGGTATACCTGGAAAATAACAAAACCCATTAGCAAAAATAGTTTGCAAAATATTCATGTTTGTATTTGCTTAGATCTAGAGATGAACAAGTTTTTTTTTTTAAACGTTTATTTTTGAGAGACAGAGAGATATAGAGCATGAGCAGGGGAGGGGCAGAGAGAGAGAGGGAGACACAGAATCTGAGGCAGGCTCCAGGTTCTGAGCTGTCAGCACAGAGCCCAATGTGGGGCTTGGACCCACGAACCGCAAGATCATGATCTGAGCCAAAGTCGGGAGCTTAACCGCTGAGCCACTCAAGTACCCCTAGAGATGAACAAGTTTTAGCTATGATTCGCTGCTTCCCAGTTTTCATATTAACAGCAATTTTAGTTTCTTTTTTTAAAAAGGGCTATTACCAAAGTAAGTACAAAAACCACCCTTAAAAGCCAAACTTTCTCTTTTTTTTTTTTTTTCAGTGAGCAAGAGCATGAGTGGGGGGAGGGGCGGAGAGAGAGGGAGAGAGAATCCCAAGCAGGCTCCACACTCAGTATTGAGTCCAGCATGGGACTTGATCCCACAACCCTGTGATCATGACCTGAGCTGAAATCAAGAGCTGGATGCTCAACCAACGGAGCCACCCAGGTGCCCCCAAACTTTCTATTTTAGGAGCGTTTTAAATACCAAGTTTGTTCATAATTTCATCATCTGCCATTGATATCTTGTACTCAAAAAGAGAAGAATTATTGATAATTTGTTTTGATGACTAAAAAGTATCAATCCACTTGCCAGTGAGAATACAAGTGGAAGCCAATTGCTATTAAGGTGTATTAAAAAGAGAAATTATTGAAGTGTTTAGAATGTTTAATAAGTCAGGTTAGTTCATACTGAAAACACAGATAATTAGATGTCCTTTATTTTTATTAAAGAAAAACTTAATTTCTTTCACAATAAGCTTGAGATTTAGCTAACCAAGGTGACTTAATTTTTGTTGCTATATCTAATGGATAATTTTCAGCCCTTACTTGACTTGAATTCTCAGCACTAGCTACTCTTTCCTTCTTGAAACGTTCTCTCTCTGGTTCCTGGTTTTTCTTCAGTCTCGGGCTCATGATCTACCAGTTTTGGACTTTCTTTCTCATAGATTATAATCCTCATAGTTGCATCTTCATCAAGGGAAATTGAGATGAATAATGAAAGTGATTTTCATTTATTCCAATGGACTCATTTATATGCTGCTAACTCCCAGGTGAATCACTTAACCATGTCTCTCTTCAGAGATCCATATATTCATTTCCTCCATTTAATTAATGTTTACTGCAAACACTCCCACCCCTCTGCCCTTCTATACTGCGGTCACCTCAACCACTGGTCTGTCTTGGGTATTATTAGCACAATGGCTCAAATCTGGCTCTCGTTCAACGTATCCACTTGAACCCAGAAAAAATTCACATTTCTTCAAATGGGAATGTGGGCTAATTCTACCACTAACTACTCTATACTGACATTTCTCTTACTAATTCTCTTCTCAAATAGGTACAAAGGGCTACTAAAGCAGATCTTCTACCTAGAAATAAGATGCTATTCTCTTGTTAGAAGTACTTTAAATCCTGAGGAGCCATTCTCTTGGTTTCAGGGTCACTTAGGGATGGAGGGAAAAGCCACTCTACTCCCCATTAAACAAATGACTCCAATTATTTTTCCGTCTATTTTTCCTGATTCAAAAACAGGGGGAAACTCCAAAGCAGATATCCAAAAGAAAATGATATGCCACTTTCTTTTTTTTTTTTTTTAAGTTTTATTTATTTTGAGGGAGAGAGAGAGGGAGAGAAAGAGCAAGCAGCGGGGGGTGGGGGGGCAGAGAGAGAGGGAGAGAGAGAACCCCAAGCAGGGTCCGCACTGTCAGTGCGTGGAGCCCAACACAGGGCTCAAACTCACAAACCACGAAATCATGACCTGAGCCAAAATCAAGAGTCGGATGCTTAACTCTTGATGCTTAACTTGAGCCACCCAGGTGCCCTACCACCTTCCTGTGAATAAACTGAATTTTTTAAAGTTTGTAGGTCTACTTACCCTACTTCATAAGATGCTAGGCCCTCTTTGACTAGCTGGTCATTTATACTAGTAGGAGTCATTCCAGGAGCACCAAGAGAATCAAAAAGCTCAACTAACAGCACATTATCTTCCAGAATTTCTGTAAAACCATTAAGACGAGTTTGGGGAAAGAAAGAAATATGTCATAAAATATACTAAATGAGGCAATTTTAAATAACAGGAAACTTAATTTCATTTTGCATACATGTGGTTTCTTGCTAAGTAATATCAAAGTCTCTCTGCAGGGATAAAAGTAGCACTTTGCAAACATAAAGCAATTGTCCATGTCGTCTGTAACATATGCAAATTAATACAATTTTTATTTTAGACTATTGTGTGCTGTTCTATAACACATCAAAAGCAGTTTAAAGCTTTTAAACTCAGAAAAATATAACTTGACCTATATTCATCAAATAAGTGTTCTGATGTGTCTTTAAACTGTTTTATTAAATTCAAACTAGTTCCAGAGGACAAAAGAATGAAAGTTAATTCAGTCCAGTGATTATCTGCTAAGGTTTACAGCTTTTAGAAAAATGGCACAAAGTTCAAAACAACAAAAACTCCAAAAACACCCTTAGAGATTGGAACCTGGAATTTTTTCCCATTCCTCTGTTTTTAGAACAAACCATCTAACTTTTAATTTCTTTTAGAAAACAAATTGGCTACTTCAACAAGTAGGTCTATTTAGATTTCTTAAACTAAACTGGGAGTTTAACTATGGGCAAAATTTACATCTCATGTGCCTGTTTACTTGCTTATGGTACACAGCACAGAGAACCTGCCTAATATGTATCTGCATAAACAACAGAGGAATTTCTTTAGAAAACACACACTTCAATGCCTTAACATATGCAGTGAATGCATACTTAAACTGCAGTTTATGCCTACAATTTCTATACAACAGCAGCTGGAGCTGCAGGCCAGAATGATGATTCTAAATAAAAAGATGAAGAGTTACCAGCATCCTATATCATAAAAACACATATTACAAAACTTTTTCCAAGGGCCTAAAAATGATTGTGGACTCCTTTTTAATGGATCAGATACGTCATCTAGAAATAAAAGGCTAAACGATGATGAGCCTCAATAAATTTTCATCTCCGTACTTTTCCATTTCTTGTGCTCTCGTGTTCCCTTCAGTTCTTTGACTATATTTCCCATACACAAAGTTCTTTTTTCCTGTATGTTCTGTACTGTCACCACCTTCCTTGCTCTGCTAATTAAAATTTAAATATCCGTTGCTTTATAAGGTAACAATGCATATTAATGGAAAGCTCCCCTTCTGGTCTGTGGTAGTTCATTTTAATATTAATGTCTTAAAACTCTTAATTTCATCATTGCACAGGTTGATGAGGTCTTTTAGATTTAAGGAGTGCCAGAAGGCCCTGCTCAAATTACCTAGGATAATAACTATATTGTGACTAGTGTTTGGATATTAATGGTGTAACAAGTAATTAAGTGAGTAAGCAAAAGAAAGAGGAAAGAAAGGAACCAAGTCAGGTCCACTGCAGGGAGGGGGAGCTAAAACCAACAGAATAAAATACCAAAAGGAAAGTTGGTAAGCAGAATTATCTAGGTTAAATTCTGCACAAAATCAGTGGAGATAACTCAAGGACTAAGAAGCCCTTAATTTACTGTTCATATCAGAGAAGACAGATATAAAAATGTTATTGACTGACAATGCAATATCTATAATCACATTCCTCCCTAAAGAAACTATTTCTTCAGAACAATTTCTTGTATCAACAATGTATATAAATTATCACTGATAGGCATCAGTTCTACGTTAAGTAACCTTGAGCAGCTGACCAGTAAGCTTCAGTCTCCTCACTGTAAAAGAGGCTAACGCTCTTACAGTAGTTGGGTTCATTTAACGTAGTATGATAAATGTGAACAAATAGGTGCTGTAAAAATTACCCTGGAAATTCCCATAAATCAACCCTAGGTAAACATGATCTTGTATATTCTGCACTAGTACTTATTAAGACCAACACAGTCAGATAAACAACAGAATCCTACACCTCCCCATACCCGAATTCAAACCCTTTGGGGCCAGACATGGTTCAGAACTCTTCAAATTGAGAAAGACTACGTAAAACATACACTGAATATTTTGTAATAGCTCCAGCAGACTGAGGCAGCAGCCTACAAACATACATTATTATCCTGAAACGGAATATATGATATTCACTATAAAGGAGAGAGATAAAGACTGTATGTACCTTCATGTCAATTCAGATCAGATTTTGCTACTCAACTTTTCATTTTCAGAACATGTTGGGTTATAAAATTGTAAGGTAATAGTCAGCCTGTATCTTGGACCCAAACTCCTCCAAAACAGAAACAACTTTTTTTCTAAATATGGGGAGAGCCTACAGTTGAATTCACTTAAGTCATATGAAAAAAAAAAAAAAAAACATGAAAACTATTTACCAGTTATGTCCTACTTCCCCTCACTTCCCTGCACATTAAACTTCAGCATCCATCATGCCAAAATCAGGATAGAGTCCTTGCAAAAATGCAAACAGAAATAAGAGAAGCTAATTTCTGACTTTAGAGCTTTCAAGAGGCCACGTCCAGGATGACTTCATCTTTTTATTTTTTTAAGATTTTATTATTTATTTATGTTTTAAAAAATTTTTAAATGTGTATTTACTTTTGAGAGAGAGAGAGAGAGAGAGAGAGAGAGAGAGAGAGAGAGAGAAAGAACACAAGCAGGGAGGAGCAGAGAGAGAGAGGCAGACACAGAATCGGAAGCAGGCTCCAGGCTCTGAGCTGTCAGCATAGAGCCCGACGTGGGGCTCGAACTCACGAACCATGAGATCGTGACCTGAGCTGAAGTCAGACAGGTGCCCGTTAAGATTTTATCTTTAAGTAATCTTTATACCCAATGTGGAGCTGGAACCTACAACCCTGAGATCAAGTCACACCCTTCATCAACTGAGCCAACCAGGCACTCTTGGGATGACTTGGTCTCTGATGGTAAATTCTGCCTCTTGCTGATTTTAGATTCTAGAGCCTGCAACTATACCTACTATACCCAATGCTCAATACATGTTCTCACTACTCTTACTGATGACACATTGAATTTATTCTGAGATCTGGCAAATGTTATAATGTTACTCTTATTTAAATTATATATGACCATACAGCAACAAATGAAAATGGAAATAGCTTACTAACGACTGAACATGTCATAAATTTATCTTGAGTCTTTTCTTCAAATTTGTCCTTAGCTTTTTTGGACCACTGCACTGCTCTCATACGTGGTTCAATATAGGCCAGCTTACATTTGATTGCCTGTGTCAAACAGAATTGTGCCATTAAGAAAAGTAAACTTAATTTCCAATTATTTTAAAATTACAATAAAATTTTATGTGAACAAAAAACTTTGTGTTTGAATTTAGTGCATATTTAGAAAATAAATAAATGTACAAAGGTATCTACAAAATATTTTATAAATACAAATAATTTGAATCAACAGAGTATTTGATTGAAGGAATTACTGCACATTTAGACATTGATATAACAAGCATCCACTGAAAGTATGATATGCTGTTAAATGAGAAAATCAGGTTATAGGACTATTTGTCTAATCCTATAATTGCTAAAAACAGAGAAGACACATCTTAGATCTATATATATCAAAAATATTCAACAATTCTAAGTGATTCCTCTTTTTATCTGTATTTTCAAGTTTTTCCTATAATTTTTACCCATTTTTAAAATGAAAAATATTGTTTAACCAAATTCAAACGCTTAGGTGCAACATGAGATAGAAAATCAGCCTTAACCATATCTCTGGGGAGTAGGATTCCAAGAGAAGGGTAATTTTTCACTTTTTCTTCCAGACTTTTCTCTCTCTTGCACATGTTATATATACTTACACATAAATGAGACTGCAGTAAAAATACTCCTATGATGAGTTTTGTTTTCACAAAATACATCATCCTCTTACCTCATTATACTGGTATAACATTAAGAGCTGCAGAACAGTAATACATAGACACAAACATACATACACATATACATTTATAATTAATGCTTATTTGCTAAGATACACATACATCTTAATAACTTATAGTTGCTATATAGAAAATTATAGGAACCACAGCAACTCTTTTCTATAGTCTATGTGTTAGAAATTACTTACAGACAAAGATGTTAACAGAATATTTCTATGGTAAAAATGATTTCTAAAATTACTTTCATATTTGTGATAATATTCTAACCCTATGATTCATGATAAATAGATTACCTTCTCTGGGGGATTCAGAAACTCATCCTTTATTTTACGCATTTCTTTAAGTGTTATTTTTGCAGTATTGCCAAAGTCCACATATTTAACTTCAACTTCACGACGTCCAGGCAATCCTTCAAAAGTTATGAAATTAGAAATTGCAAACTTGGAAAAAAAGAGACCCAGAGATTTACCTTCCAACATTACCCCTAGCTTACTAAAGATAGATAACTGAGCAAAATGTTAAGATCAAATAACATCACTTCCACGATTAATCTGTACCAACTCAAATGGCATCAGTTTTTAAAGCATAACATTTGCCTGTAGAAATAGTGTGCAATCTCCTACCAATGACTTTTGCTCGGTACCAAACTCCATCTTCAAATTTAGCTACACAGGCTTGATCTTGAACTGGACAGAGGATTTCCAGATTTTCTCCATCTTCACTTTTATAGAATTCCTCAATTGTCTTTAATAGAAATAAAAAATCCAGGCTCTCTATCTAAGAGATAAAGGGATTAAAACACATGGTATGTATTATAAGCACTATTCATAAAATTACCAAATGTTAGAATCAGATAAATCATGTCACATAATTTATATTTGAAGTATCTTATTACAGAAGCAATATATAAAATTAGCAAATGTGGACATAACAAAAAGTTTTAAAAATCACATTTCTCCAGGGGCACCTGGGTGGCTCAGTTGGCTGAGCGTCTCAACTTCAGCTCAGGTCATGATCTCATGGTTCATGAGTTTGAGCACTATATCAGGCTTGCTGATGTTGGCACAGACCCTGCTTCAGATCTTCTGTCCCCTCCTCTCTCTGTTCCTTCCCTGCTCATGCTCTCTCTCAAAAATGAATAAGAACATTAAAAACATATCCAGATACCTTAAATGTATATCCTTCCAGATCCTTTTCTTATACACAAACTTTCCATATTTTTTAAAACAAAAATGAAATTATATCATATATGCAATTTGATTACAGTTTGATAATTTGCATTTTCTATCAGTTCTCACTTTTCTATTTCAGTAAGGATTCCTATTAATGCTCCAGACCACATTTAGATACCCCATGCTGACCTAAACCAGTATTCAGTTCAAGACTACACATTATATCTGGTTATTTCAAGAAATCTTTTAGAATCTACCATGGTACTTTTATTTTAATGACTTAGTCTTGCTGAAGAGCATCTATTATGTAGTTACATCTTCATGCTATTATTTAGCTTGTTCCTCCATTAAGTAGTATCTAGCTCCTGAAATTTCCCAAAAGCTAAAAGTTGGTATCTATAGGTGTGATGGATTCAAACATTTTTTGGCCAGAATACAAGTAATTATACTTAAGTTGTAAATATACTTAGGTTGCAATACATCAAAAGACATAATAATCACTAACTCAACATTAACATGCTAAGATTCACATATAGATTGGGGTGATGATTCTGATCCCTCTGTTGTACAGTTATGTTTTTATCCTGTACCCACCAACTAATTCATGTAGTACTATTCTGGCATTATATGAATGTCCAGTTTCCTATCAACCATCAATCTCGTGGTTTTAAAGTGAATTGCTAATTCTTTAACTCAGTAATTTCAGTAGGGTTTGTGAAATGACTGCATTGAGCAAATCTCAAATTTCTTGTACTAAATAAGACTATTTGGTTACTGTAGTTCTTAAAGCATCTGAAACACAGTTCTTAAAAAAACAATCCCAAAACATCATAAACGTTTGATTATCTTTCCAAATACCAATTCTTAAGTTTAAAAAATACTTTAAAATCCATTTCAAATGGCAAAAAATTAGGTTTTTCTCTTTTTTGAGCATTATAATGCGAGTGGAAATTTTGTGAATCTAGCTTTTCTTGTTATTCCATTTAAATTTACTTAAAATTTAAAAATTTTCTAAACTTTTATTTCTAAGTAGATATTATTCATGTTCTTCCATTAATAGGTTATCCAAAGGGAACAGTGAAAAATTCAACAGAGGAGTGACATCAGCAAAATAGCAGACTGGGGGTTCCAAGTTCTCGTTCCCACACAGAAACATTGAAAAAAAATGAGAAGCCATATGAAATTTTTCAGAACTCTGGAAAAGTCAAGGGTTTACTGCAACCAAGCAAAACCCAATCAAGTTCCTGGCATTCAAAGAAATCTCTGTCAAAACATTTGCTGTACACAAGCTAAAGGAACAGAGACTTTAGTGATCACAAAAAGGAACAGTCTTTACAAAAATAGAATGGGAAAGTCTCAAACAAACCGACCACTATAGTCTTCAACAATTAAGAAAACCCAGCAAATCCCAGGGAGGTGGGGATCTGATTTTCAGAGTTACAACATTCTAATAGTCAAATGCCCAGTTTTCAACAACAAAAAAAACAGGTGAAATACAAAGAAAAAGGAAAACATGGCACACTCATAGGAACAAAATAAATAGTAACCCAGATATTGGACTTACTAGACAAAGACTTTAGAACTGTCTTAAATATGTTCAAAGAACTAAAGGAACACATGGATAAAGAACTAGAGGAAACCAGAAAAACAATAAAGGACCAAAATTAAAATACCAACAAAGAGATAGAGATTATAAAAAGGAATCAAATTCTGGGGCTGAAAAATACAATAAGTGAAGTGAAAAAAACACCAGAGGGTTCAACAGCATGTTTGAGCAAGCATGAGAAAGGATAAGTGAACCAGAAGATAGGGTAACTGAAATTATTAAGTGGGGAAAAGAAAAAAGAGCAAAGGGAACAGAGACTCAGGACTTGGATAGAGACTAAGGGTACCATTAGACATATTAATATACACATTATGGGAGTCTCTGAAGGAGAAGAGAAAGAAAGGAGCAAAACAATTATTTGAAGAAATAATTTCTGAAAACTTCCCAAATTTAGTGACAGACATGAATCTTTAAATCCAAGAAGCTCAATGTTATGGGTTAACTTATATCTCCAAGCAAGGTGTGTTGGAGTTGGAACCTGAGAATGTGACATTATTTGGAGACAGAATCTTAACAGAGATAATCAAGTGAAAATGATTATGGTAGGTCTTAATCCAATATGAGTGGTGTCATTAAAAGGGGAAGATTTAGGTACAGAGACAAACACAGAAGAATGCATGTGAAGATGAAAGCAGAGATTATGGTAATGCAAGTCACAGACCACCCAAAATTTCCAGCTAACCACCAGAAACTAGGAGAAAAGAATGGAATATTCTCACTCACAGCTCAAGAAGGAACCAACCCTATTTATACTTGAATCTCACACTTCTAGACTCCAGAACTATGGAGCAATAAATTTATGGTCTTTAAGTCACTTAATTTGTGTAACTTTGTTATTGCAGCCCTCGGAAATGAATACAGATTTTGATTTTGAGAAGGAGGGTGTTGCTGTAAAAAATACCTAAAATGTGGGTGTGTCTTTGGAATTAGGTAATGGATAGGGAAGAAGTTTTGAAGTGTTTGAATGAAAAGTCCAGATTGCTTTGAAAAGAATTTTGGTAGAAATATGAATGTCAAAGTTTCTTCTGGTGAGATCTCAGACAGAAATTAGGAGCATGTTATTGGAAACTAGAGGAAAGGCAATCCTTGATATAAAGTGGTAGAGAACTTGGTTGAATTGTATTCTGTCAGATAGAAAGTAGAACTTTAATATTTAGCTGAGGAAATCTCGAAGCAAATTGTTGAATGTGCAGCTTGGTTTCTCCTTGCTGTTTACAGTAAAACACGAGAAGACAGAGATAAAGAATTGCTAAACATAAAGGAAACAGAACTTGAATTTATAAAATTTTCAGCCTATCCATATTGTAAACAATGAGAAAGTATGCTTAGAGAGGACACCAAGGGTGTGGCTGAAGAGATTATGGGCAGGTGGCTTGTGGATCCAATCAATCATCTCAGCAGAAACTCTGCCAGCTTGAAATGGAGGGAATAGAGATGGGAATAAAGAAGGAAGGCTGTTGAACTTATGGGATTCTATAGGCAGGAAGTGAGCTGATGGAGCTATTCAGCCCTGCACATGTTTTATCTTTGAAGAAAAAGGTATAATGACCCTGAAGGTAGTTCAGAGGCTGGAGTGTCTGCTACTGCCACCAGGAGCCCAGAGGGCACAAGTCTGAGAGGCAGGATTGACTTGTCCTCTGTTCCAAGAGGTGCAGCCTCCTGGGTTCCACAGCATGAAGACAAATACTCAATTCCAATAATTGAGGCTGCTTTTAGAGCTGAGTAGGTAAAGCCAAAATAGGCTGAATAATCCTAGTGGGACTGAAAGGTGGAGCATCTAGCCAGTGAAGATTATTCTCAAGTCATAAGAATCTAATAGAATTTGCCCCGCTAGGTTTTAGATTCCTCTGGTTTCACATATTCAGATATAGACAAGAATTTTGCCCCAGCTTGTATGCTACTAATTCTTCACCTGTACTTGAATTAGACGATGAGATTTGGGACTTTTGGCTGATGATACTTATGTATAAGATTTTGGACTTAGAATTGATGCTGGAATGATTGGGATGGGATGAATGCATTTTGTATGTGAGAAGGACATGGATTTCTGATGGAGCAGAGAGTAGACTGCTTTGGGAACTGTGTCCTCCTCAAAAAATATGTTGGAGTTCTAACCCCTCAGTACCTCAGAATGTAACCTTATTGAAGGGAGGGTTTTACAGAGGTTATCAAGTTAAAGTCTTAGGTGGGACCTAATTCAATATGACTGGTGTCCTTATTAAAAAATTGAGACAGACAAGTTCAGAGAAAATGCCATGTGAAGGCAGCAGAAGAGACTGGGATAATGCAGAAGCCAACAAGTGGTAAAGATTGCCAGCATACCACCAAAATCTAGGGAAAAGACATGGAATGGATTTTCCCTCTAAGACCTCAGAAGGAATGAAACCTGCCAACACCCTGATTTTAGACTTCTAGACTCCATCACTTCAGACCACAAAATTTTGTCATTTAAGCTATCCACTTTATGGTATTGTGTTACAATGGCCCTAGGAAGCTAATACACTCAACAAACCCCAAGTAGAATAAACCCAAAGAGACACACTCATACGCACTATAATCAAATTATCAATAACCAGAGACAAAGGCAGAATCTTGAAAACAGTGAGAGAGAAGCAACTTGCCATGTACAAGGGATCACCAGTGAGATTACTTGCTGATTTCTTCTAAGAAACCTTTGAGGAAAGAAGACAATACGGAGGTAAATTTAAAGTGCTGGAAAAAAAAAACCCGGTCAACTGAGAATTACAGATCAGCAAAACTGTCCTTCAAAAATAAGGGAGAAATTCAGCCATTCACAGAGAAACAAGTGGTGAGGAAATGCACTACCACTAAAGGGAGTCCTTTGGGTAGAGCTAGAAGGATGATAGAGTGTAGCTCTAGCATGTAACTCAGAGCCACATGAAGATATAAAGATCTGTGGTTCAGGTAAATACAAGGACACACATGAAAGAAATATTAATTTTGGTTTGTAACTCCACTTTTATTTCTACTTATTTCTA